AATTCCAGCTATGCTTTCTATGTAGCTCTAATTTTCCCCATTTTCATAGCGTTTATCATATTTTAATATACTATATAAGTTACTCATTTACTATGTTCATATAACTGCTGGAATATAAGCTCCACAGTGGTTTTTTTGTTTTTTTTTTTTTTTACTTTTTGTGCCTATTTTGTTAACTGATGTATCCCTGAAACCCATGAAAATTCCTAACATGTGAAAGGCTCCCAATAAATATTTGTTGAAGGAATGAATGAAGAAAGAATGAAAGCACTTTGATAATTTAAATCCATGATTCAAGCTTTGAGAAATTCACAATGATCATCAATTTTGCTTTCAGTGATACTAGGTCTTTCAAAAATCACAAGTGATTATCCCTTATTTGTTATGATCTGTATTTTCTGGTTACTATGAAATAAAACATTCCCTAGCAGCTCTATGTATAATGTTTTAGACTTTTTTTTAATATACTGAAAAAACAAATTGGATAATATGGAATACAGCTCATAACATATTTTTTCTCTTTGATAACTCGTTATGTTAAATGTACAAAATGTTGACTAAGTCCATTACCTAGGCCTCCATAACAAAGTACCACAAACTGGGTGGCTTATAACAATAGAACTTTATTGTCTCACACATCTGGAGGCTATATGTCCAAAATCAAGGTGTTACTAGGTCCGTGTTCTCTTTGAAACCTCTAGTGGAGAATCCTTTGCCTTTAATTAACTTCTGGTGGTGGGCACCAATCCATGGTATTCCGTGACTTATATAGTTACATCACTCCAAACACCACCTTTGTTGTCACATGGCCTTCTCATCGTGTGAATATGTTTCTACCAGGGACTTTCCTCTTCTTTCAAGGGTACTAGTCAGGTTAGGGCCCACCCTAATGATATCACCTTAACTTGATTATATCTGCAAAGACTCTATTTCCATATAAAGGCATGTTCATAGGTACTGGGGGATGACTTCAATATGCAGTTTGGGAAGGGTACCATTCAGCCTGTAACAATAGCTTTTTAATTTGGGGAGGGTATTGCTTGATGGCCCAGCATGCTTTGAGGATGATGGGAAACTTCTTGTTGCTTCATTAGTAAATGCTGCCAATAGCAGAATCAGTGTTTATCTCTTTAGTATCCTTTGCCAACACTGAAGTGAATAATTATTTCAATTAGCTTACTTCCTGTATATCAATTGGAAACCTTTAGATTCATGAAGAAATATTCGTATGTGAAATGTTATTTTCTTAACTATAGCTGTTAGTATAATTATAAGAAGAAATATGAAATATGTACACACTAGCACAAACTCACACAAACTCATGTCCTTTATGTGCCCCTGAGTCTCATCCTTCTTTGCTCATTCATCTCCCCCTGCTTCTGAGATCAGCATCGAAACTATTTGGTGTGTTAATTCTACTTGGCATCTTTTATTCATCTGGCATAACCTCACTCTGTCCTAGGTTCCTCTGAGGCACCACCAAGGAACTGCAGCAAAGGTTGATCAAGCATTTAAAAAAACTCTATTATTAAGATAAAATTAAAAAATATAATTGTTAAAAAACACATTTGAGAAAATAGTCATTTGCTGATTGGCAATTGCTCTAAATTTAATTAAAAAACAGTTACTGAATTGGCATTATACTTTAGATCATATCATTTTTTGTGTACCCATGATTTAAACTCTAGCAGAATTTTGCCATTTTCATTGTTTTTCTTATTATTAAAACAAAAACAAACAAACTTAAGCTTTTTTACATTTTTCTGTTCCTACTCTCCATGGGCTTATCTGTTAATACATTGTAAATAAATATTTGATGAATTGATAAAGTTGTGTGTGGTTTAAAGTTGATATCTACCCATATCTTACCTAATTAAAAGCAGATTGGATTCTGAACTTGACTTATTTTATAAAGATGTGGTGATGGAATTTGGAGACATGTGAGTAATTCAGATACATGTGAGTAACTCGGAACTCATAAATAGGAGGTTTACAATCTAGCCTCATTTATTGCAGGTTTTCAAATGAGGCATTAATCTTAATTTGGAAAGTACCCAAACTGATGCCCTGAAGCTTGGTGATTGAGCAAGTGGAATGGAAAAATGGGGAGTCTTCTTCTTAGTAATGTGAATGCTCTGAAAATCACATGGGAAACAGATGATAATCACATTTAGGGCTGATGAAATGATAGATTTATAGGTTTATAAACTACAGAGAAATTTGATTTGGGGAAGATATTCTGGATAGAGATTATAAGTTGTGTCAGTAAATAGGTTTGCCAAAATAATAACTCTGACTTAAAGCCTATAATGTTTATAGAAATAACTATGGTCATTACTGTTATTCATTTGTAATTAGTAAAAGATATACTGGTCAGTGATGAGGGCATGACAACCCTCTCCAGTATTCTTGCCAGGAAAATCCCATGGACAAGGCAGCCTGGCGGGTTATGGTCCATGGGGTCACGAAGAGTCAGACACAGCTGAAGTGACTTAGCACACATACTGGTCTATAAGAATTTGAAAAGGCTGTGATATAAAGCACTTCCACCTATTGACTAAATTACTAGTTAGGGGATTAAAACAGTTTAAAAAAAAGTCTCTCAACCAATAAACCCAGGACCAAATGACCTCACTGGTGAATTTTAGAAAGTATTCAAAGATTAAATACCTAGTCTTCTCAAACTCTTCTTTGATGAACATAGATCCAAAAATTCTGAACAAGATATTAGCAAACTGAATCCAACAAGACATTGAAAGGCTCATGCACTGTGATCAAGTGGGATTTATTCCAAAGATGTAAGGATGGTTTAGTACCCACAAATCAATCGAGGTGATAAGTCACATCAACAAAATGAAGGATAAAAGTCGTATAATCATCTCAATACATGTAGAAAAAGCATTTTACAAAATTCAACATTAGTTTATGACAAAGACTCTCAGCAAAGTGTTTATAGAGGGACTATATCTCATCATAAAATGGACATGTATGACAAACCCACAGCTAACAATGGTGGAAATATAAAGGCTTTTCCTACAAGATCAGGGATAACACAAGGATGCCCTCTCACTGCTTCTAATCAACAATGTTTGAAATTCCTATCCACAGCAATTAGCAAGAAATCCCTGGTAGCTCAGCTGATAAAGAATCCACCTGCAGTGCAGGAGACCCTGGTTTGATTCCTGGGTCAGGAAGATCCCCTGGAGAAGGGATAGGCTACCCACTCCAGTATTCTTTGGTTTCCCTGGTGGCTCAGATGGTAAAGAATCTGCCTGCAGTTCAGGAGACCTGGGTTCGATCCCTGGGTTGGAAAGATCCTCTGGTGGAGGGCATGGCAACCCACTCCAGTATTCTTGCCTGGAGAATCCCCATGGACAGAGGAGCCTGGGGGGCTATAGTCCATGGGGTTTCAAAGAGTTGGACATGATTGAGTGACTAAGCACAGCACACAAGAAATAAAAGGAATCTAAATTGGAAAGAAAGAAAAGAAAAACTGTTGCTGTTTGCAGATAACATGTTATTGTTGTTGTTGTTCAATCAGTAAGTCATGTCCAACTCTTTGTGACCCCATGGACTGTAGCATGCATGGAGAACTATCACTATTTGCAGATAACATGTTACGGAAAACCTAAAGCCTGCCCCCCAAAAGCTGTTAGAACTAATAAATAAGGCAAGTTGCAGTATATAAAATCAATACACATAAATATGTTGTATTTCTATACACAAATAATGAACTAGGAGAAAGAGAAATTAAGAAAACAATCACATTTACAATTGCTTCAAATTGGTAAAGAATCTGCCTGCAATGCAGGAGACCTAGGTTTGATCCCTGGGTTGGTAAGATACCCTGGAGAAGGAAATGGCAACCCACTCCAGTATTCCTGCCTGAAAAATCCCATGGACAGAGGAGCCTGGCAGGCTATAGTTCACGGGCTTGCAAAGAGTTGGACATGACTTAGTGACTAAACCACCACAAAAGCAAAATAGGAATAAATTTAACCAAGGAGGTAAAAGACCTATGCATTAAAAACTATAGGACACTCATGAATGAAACTGAAGAAACAAATTAGTAGAAATTTATTTCTTATTCATAGCTTGGAATAGTTAATATTCTTGAAATGTCCATCTTATCCAAAGAGTTAGTCTCTCAGTGGTGTCCAACTCTTTGAGACCCCATAGGCTGTAGCCCACAAGGCTCTTCTGTCCATGGAATTTCCTAGGCAAGAATACTGGAGTGGGTTGCTATTTCCTTCTCCAGGGGATCTTCCTTCTCCAGGGATCAAATCCAAGTCTTCTCATTACAGGTAGATTCTTTACCATATATGCCACCAGGGAAGCCCCCAAAATGAAGACTGCAGCCCAGGAGACAGCACCTCTGATAGCTCTGAGAGACTGCTCCATCTTATCCAAAACAATCTATAAATTCAGTGCAACTCCTTTCGAAATTCCAAGGGCATATTTCATAGAACTAGAACAAATAATTCTAAAAGTTGTAGCAAACCACAAAAAATCATGAATTATCAAAATGATCTTGAGCAAGAAGAACAAAGCTGGAAAAGCCATCCTCCCTGATTTCAAACTCTACTACAAAGCTATAGTAATCAACATTGTATGGTGTTGGCACAAAAACACACATGGGTCAATGGGACAGAATTGGGAACACAGGATTGTGCAAAAAAAAAAAAAAAAAAAACCTCATCAATACAGAGGACAGTTTACTAGTAACTGTAGGGGAGAGTGGTTGAGAGGGGGTCAAAACTGATGAAGGGTGTCAACTTGTAATAGTGATGGGTGATAACTAGATTTGTGGTGACCACTTTGTACTATATACAGATGTTGAATTATAATGCTCTACAACTGAAAATAATATGAATAAAAAAGTTTCATAGCTTTAAAAGAATTTCACTTGAACATTTGTCAGACATTGCTTGGAAAACTGAGACTTCATATATATATATAACACATACACATATATATATATATATATATATGTATTACAGGTTCAGAGCAGTTTGTTGGCAGAATGCAAGATTTTCAATTATACCAAGTGGCGCTTACAAACAGGTAAGCTGATTGAAAATTTTACACCTGAAATGTAAGGATAAATTCATTTAAGTAAGAATATCATGAATATTTTAGCATTTTCCATCTTTACAGCATTTGGTGAACATCATCTAATTAATGTTTACATTGTTTACTTTGGCTTAGTCTATGCTTTTTATTCACTAGCGCTACTCTGTGTGTAACTCATAACATAAAATTGATCAAATTCTGCACAAATGATTTATTCTAAGAAAACTAGACTTTTGAACAAGTAGAATAAGTATATAATTTAGGATGCTGTTGTTTTGTTGCTAAGTCATGTCTGACTCTCTTGAGACCCCATGAACTGTAGCCCACTAAGGTCCCCTCCATGGAATTTCCCAGGCAAGAATACTGAAGTGGGTTGCCATTTCCTTCTCCAGGGGATCTTTCTGACCCAGGGGCTCAACTTGCATACCAGTTCTTTACCAATAAACCACGAGGGAAACCTGTAACTTGGGATAAAAGTGAAGTGAAAGTTGCTTAGCTGTGTCTGACTCTTTGTGACCCCTTGGAATTCTCCAGGCCAGAATAATAGAGTGGGGGGAGTCTTCCCAACCCAGGGATTGAACCCAGATCTCCCGCACTGCAGGCAGATTCTATCCCTTCTCCAGGGGGTCTTCCCGACCCAGGAATTGAACAAGGGTCTCCTGCATTGCAGGCGGATTCTTTACCAACTGAGCTATCAGGGAAGCCCCTTATATATTTGTTTAAGTGTTCTGTTTGAAGTTGTTTCTGATACTTAAGAAACTGCTATATCTGCCTTTTAAAATTGCTTTGCTGAATTTGTAAGTACTAGAGAATGTAGAAAAAAGGAAATGAGTACTTATATTGATGTATAGAAAAATCTCAAGAGACTGGACTACTAGACTTCGAGACAAGGAGAGTAAGTAATTTGAAATATTGTTATATATTTCTATTTCCAGTGAACAAATCATTGTGTGGACTTGGCCTATATTTATTAAAGTATTTCTTCATCTTGAGAATAGGTAGGAAATCTTTCTTAGGTGTTTCTTAAGGCATGCATATTTCCATTCTCCTCAGAAAGTTCAAGAAAATTCGGCCTGAGATAGCCTCTGAAGTTTGTTTCCCGAGTTATGATTTGATGATATAATATTACATCATTGTATGAATATGTTGATCTTATTCACTTGCAAAAGAAGGATGTTTATTCATTTTTCTTCAAGGGAAATGTAGATTAGTATGGTGAATTTCCAATGACAGAACTAGTTCTTGTAAGTTTGAGAGGCATTGCTCTTGAGATGAAGTGATGATCTTATGTCCATTAAGAATATACACATTCTTTTAGTTAGTCTATATGATCCAGAGATGCCTGAATATAGGATGCTGTAACACTGAAACACTTTCTTGGGGAGATTTATGGCCACTAGTCTCACAATCATTTAGATCATTTTTGTCTAAAATTCTGAAGAGCAGCATTGCTAATAAAGATTTTCCTCAGATAAACATTTCACTGCATGGTCACTGTTGGCCCTATGCAACACATGATGTCAAGTGAAAAGTATGAATGAGATTTAAAGAAGAAGGTGAGCCATTCTGTGTTTTAAGTGAGTGAAAAAGGTGCCTGCCTCCTCCATTTGCCCTTAGTGGGGTCTGAGAGAAGTCTGATCTCTCAACTTAGACCAGGGTTGCTCTCTACTTAGACCTTGCTTGCTGGTGTTGGCCTATCTGAAATGTCTGGAAAGGTATTATGTGGGAGAATGCCTATAAATAGAATGACTGCTTTTGCTCTGTATTAGTATATTGCCCTTAATGGAAAAATTAAATATTTCTGCCTGAAATTGGCATTCTCCTTTGACTGTTGGCAGTGGTCATATGATCTGAAGCCATCGAAGCATTTTAGGGTGCCAGAATCTGTACCGATGACTCACAGGAAACCACTGACAAATGGATTTGGCCCCAGTCCCTTCTCCTAAAACAGTAGCAGATAAAATAATTTTCTTAATTCTTTCCATGGATGAAGGGGGGACCCTATCTATAACTCATTTTCAATACATTATTGTTCACTCATAGTGATAAGTCAGCTTAACAATCTTACTTAATATGCCTTTCTTTTAATCAAAAATAGGCACAGTAAAATATTATATTTTAACAAATATCTTGATCAGTCAAGGACTTGTGCATGCTTCTTGATGTACAAAGTTAGCACTTAAGAATGTGCTGATTTTACACAGAGATTAGACTTGTGGTTACTTGTGGTAACTTGTGGTTACCAAGGGCGCAGGGTTTAAGGCAGGATACAGTGGGAGTTTGGGATTAGCAGATGCAAGCTAGTATATTTAGAACAGATAAATAACAAGGTCCTACTGTACAGCAGAGGGTACTATATTCAATATTCTGTTATAAACTATGAATGGGGAAGAATATAAAAGACAATGTATGTGTACATATAACTGAATCACTTTGCTATACAGCAGAAATTGACAACTTTGTAAATCAACTATATCTCATTTTAAAAAATTCACTGTTTTTGATATACAGTTTTTGAGATTGCATATGTTTGACTAGGAATGACTTTGATTCTATGTAGTGTTTAGAAAACTATTAAGGCTAAATGTCTGCAAATCAAGATACTGATAGTCATTGGTAACACCTCTTAGAAGTCCTGTCACTGTTGAGTTACTGGTCCTTACTATCTTCCTCTTGACTCCTACAGAGAGATTCAGGAAGTTTTCTCCGGAGATCTACCCAGATTGCATATCCAGTCACATTGCCGTTGCCCTGGCAGCCACCCTCGTGTCCATCATTTGGATCAGCGGTACTGCATTCCTAATGATGCAGAAGACACAACCAAAAACAGGGTGTTACGGCTGAATCCTGAAGCCCATCCTCTTTCTTTTGTTAATGATAACAATATTGGTACTTCATGGGTATCACATGTGTTTACAAACATGACCCAGCTTAGTCAAGGAGTGACTATTTCCATCGATTTGGAAAATGGACAATATCAGGTAATTCATAACAGTGGGATGTGTGTTAGTTTCCTGTGCATATTTCAGCAAGTTACCACACATTTAATAGTTTTGCAATCATAAATTTATTCTCTTATAATTCTGAATATCAGAAGTATGAAATCAGTGTTGACAGTGCCATGCTCCCTCTAAAGGCTGTAGGGAAGAATCCTTCTTCGCCTTCTCCAGATTCTTGTGGCTCCTGGCATTTCTTCATTTATGGCAGCATAACTCCAATCTCTGCCTCCATGTTTCATGGCCCTCTTCCTTGTACATCCAGGATTACTTCACCTTGAGACCCCTAATTATATCTGCAAAGACCATATTTTCAAATAAGGTTGCAGTCATAAGTATCAAGAGTTAGGACTTGAACACATCTATTTGGGGAAACAATTTAACCAGCTATAAAGTGAAAGCTGAATTAGGCAACTGAACATCACCTCATCAAAGTAGTGTATCATAACCTATAAAATAAAAATATTTCAAAGAAGATATACAGGCCCTAATTTTCTAGAGATTTATATCAAAATCATATGAAATATGAAAACATTCTTTTCAATATTAAGTAGCACAAATTAATGAAAATCACAGTCCTTTTTGTAACTAACTGTAAGAAAATATATAACAATTATTTTATAGAAGTAATGTTTTGTTCATGTCTTTATATCAAATGTATTAATTTCCACTTTAATTTTTAAAATCTTTGAGAAGAGGGACATATATGCTATTGTACAATGTGTTGCCTTTACTGTAAGACTATGGAATTTCTGATGTCTAACGAATATTTGGTAATTGTCATTATAAGGAAGTAAGCTATTATGTTTGAACATAATTCTTGTGGTTTGATCTGTACTGATGGGGTCAAACTTAAAACTTCAATGACAATTAACATTCATTTTCAGGTGTTTTACATTATCATTCAGTTTTCTAGTCCACAACCAATAGCAATAAGGATTCAGAGGAAAAAGGAGGACAGCCTAGACTGGGAGGATTGGCAGTATTTTGCTAGAAATTGCAGCACTTTCAGAATGAAAAACAATGGAGATTTGGAAAATTCTGATTCTGTCAACTGTCTTCAACTTCCCAAGTATGAATATTTTTAAAATTTTTATCTTTGAATGCATTTAGGAGTTAATTTGAATAGACTAATGTGCAGTAGTAACCTACATGCAAGCTAGCTAAGCTGGTAGAGACTTCCTCGATCACCAATTTTCTTGAAGATTTTTCTAAGACTGTTCCTTAAACTGAGTTTTAAACAATGTTTAAAATTCCTGTAAGATTTTATAGAGTAGCTCTTGCTTACAGACTCACTTGTGCTTTAAANTCGATCACCAATTTTCTTGAAGATTTTTCTAAGACTGTTCCTTAAACTGAGTTTTAAACAATGTTTAAAATTCCTGTAAGATTTTATAGAGTAGCTCTTGCTTACAGACTCACTTGTGCTTTAAAATTGATTTTCAGATTATCTACCAAGTTTTATATATTAATAGGATTTTTATTATGTCCTCAGGGAAATGTTTTACTATATTTTCTGGGATGCTCTCATGAAATGTTTGTTTCCAAGAATGAAGAATTTAAGCTATTACTAATACTGTGTTATAATGTCTGCTTTGTCAAGAATATGAATAGCTTCTCATGATTTCAAATTTCATCAACAGTTTTACTCCGTATTCCTGTGGTAATGTCACCTTTAGCATCCTAACACCTGGACCAAATCATCGTCCTGGATACAATAACTTCTATAATACCCCATCTCTTCAAGAGTTCGTTAAGGCCACACAAGTACGACTTCATTTCCATGGACAGTACCATACAACTGAGACTCCTGTCAGCCCCAGACACAGATACTATGGAGTCAACGAAATTACCGTCACTGGAAGGTAGTGTTCATGACCAAGGTTTTGAGTGTGCTTTTCATGATGAATCTTGTTTCTGACAAATTTTTGTCATACTCATTTAAAAATACATTAGCCTTTTACAGCAAATCAGATTCCAGTCTCCATGTATTGAAATTGTTTCCTATTCTAAGATTTTGGGGGGAGATTTGTATGTGAGTCTTTGGTGTACATAATATCACATTGTTAGGAAATCAATTTTCAAAAGCTCTTGGGTTTAGAAATTATGATACCCTGAATCCAACTTAGAAAAGAATTGCCAAATATTTTGCTTATTTTTTCTGGGATATAATTTTCAAGTATTCTTGAAATCAAAGAGAAGAAGCTAGGTTTGAAGTCACAACTGTAGTAGCAGCTAGTTTGTAAGTACTGAGCTTGATCTCTCTAAGTTCACAATTCACAGTTTTATGAGGAATATCTGTTTTCCTATAAAGGAATAAAGGAAAATTCTAGGACACTCTAAGTAATTTATAATTATCTGGCTCTAGTAGAGAACAAAGTTAAACAAATGAGTAGTTGGAAAACTACAAGATAGCGTACTCCCTAGTATGGAAATGCAGCATATATAGGCTCTACTTAGAATTAGTTTGTGCTAGAAGAATGATATACCCTGTGAATAAAGCACATATTTAAAAGCAGATTGGAATATCAACATATAAATGTTATTTGTTAAGTCATAGCACAATGAAAAAATAGCTGTTAAATTTTCACCGTCTAATTTTGAGGAAAAAGACAGGTTGAAATGTGTTAACTTTATCCTTCAGTTTATTCTGAACTTTGTAGTCTTGATTGTGTTTTCTTCAGTAGTTACAGTAAATGCCTTTTCATGACAGGTTTGCCACATGGTTAATATTAGTATAAACAACTCAGAATGAGTTTGAAAATCAACTTCACAAACAGCGTGGTTTGGATATTGATGAAAATCCTTCCAATACTTCAGTGTTAATTTAAAACTGTTATGAATATTATCCATATGATTAAAGAGGAACTGAATTTTGTGTTTATTAATAAACTTGCCTCTTGTTAAATTCATATAGTGGTTACATACATAGATCTTTAAGTATACTCACACTTGAATTGGTGTTTCTAAGGAGTTGTCTGATGCTCATGTCCACAGATGTCAGTGCTATGGTCATGCCAATCACTGTGACACAACAAGCCAGCCCTATAGATGCCTCTGCTCTGAGGAAAGTTTCACTGAAGGAGTTCATGTGAGTTCTGTTTATTCACGGGAATCTCAGAAAAGTGGGTGGGATGTTGAATATAAATCCTTTAAACTTGACTTGGTCTAACTTCTCCTTATGAGTAAAAGTAAATTGATATGAACTTAAACTGCTAATTATTTCAGAAAACATTTCATAGAGAAAAATGAAAGCTATGAGTAAAGTTGAAAACTTTATTTAAAAATACTCTGTGTGAGAAATAACAACTAATACTAAACCCAGAGGTTTTCTTTTTCCTTTTTTTTTTTCTGTTTCGTCAGCATTATCATATTTTATAAAACAACTTCTAAGGCATATAAATAGATGGAACTAAGAAAGGGATCAGATTGCTACACCTAAAGAGTACATTTGTGCAGATGTATATAAAGAGATCTTTATGTGATTGCATCAATCAAGTTCAATTTATTGCTGATATCAATAATTTAAATTAGTAGTTAATTTGAAAATCTATAGTAAAATCACTTAGAAGTTACATTGCTTTAGTTAGTCTCTAATCATCAGGGTAAGTTTCATACTTGAAGTGGAAATTTAGCTTCATCTTTAGGAATAAGAAGTAAATGAAAAAAAAATTAAGAGAGATTTGTTAGAAGTAAGTATTCAGCATAAATATCAGTAACAGATGATATGAAAGAGGGTTATAGCAGCAGAAACAGGGTTACAGCAGAAATAAGAGTATGGCATCTTCAATAAATGGTGTTTGAAGCAATTGGCTGCCAATTTGTAAGAAAATAAAGTTACCTACCTCATGACATGTATAAAAATCTAGGTGCTTAAAAAATTAAATGTAAAAACAACTGTAAATTTATGAAAATAAAGATTAGAACAATATTTCTAAATTTCAGGTGGGGTCTATATAAGCAAAACATGAAATACAAAAGAAAGAAGCATGTCAGGAGTCATAAAAAGTACTGACATTTTGTCCTATAAGTATTCTTTATAAGCGAAGGCTTCCCTGGTGGCTCAGATGGTAAAGAATCCATCTGCAATGTGGGAGACCTGGGTTCAATCCCTGGGTTAGGAAGATCTCCTGAAGGAGGGCATGACAGCCTACTCTAGTATTCTTGCCTAGAGAATCCCCATGGACAGAGGAGTCTCACGGGCTACAGTCCATGGGGTCGCAAAGAGTCAGACACGACTAAGCGACTAAGCACAGCAGTGAAAAGTGATGGGGCTGATTGAAAATATTTAACAGATAGAGATTTGAGATCCCTCTAAAAAGGAAACACACACTATTCTACCTACAACTACAGATCACACTTCTGACACCAGATATATGTTTTTTCCCTATACCAAGCAATTCAGTTCTCTATGGATACCAACTGGGTGTCCTACAATTTAATTCAGTTCTGACACTAACTGGAGTTAGCACAGACCTCATGGGTTTAGCGCTTAGTCCTAGAAGACATCACTCATTAGATGCCAACTGCAAGTAGTGCGTCCCCAGGTTAACTACAACTTCTATCCAACTTAGCTACAAATTAGGAGTTCCCCTAATGCACTCCTTGGGCTTGATAATTTGCTAGAAAAGCTCACAACACTCAAGTAAATAGTTTACTTATTAGGTAACCATTTATTGTAAAAGGATGCAACTCAAGCAAGCCCTTCCAGGATGGAAGGGATGCACAGAGAAGGTCAGGAGGAAGGGGAACAGAGTTTCCATGCCCTCTCTGAGTGTGCCACCTCTCAGCATCTCTATGGGTTTAGCAGTCTGCAGTCTCTCAGAACTTTTTCAGTTAGAATTTTTATGGATACTTCATTACACATGATTGATTTAATCATTGGCCATTGAACTTGACCTTGAGCCCTTCTCACTTCCCTGGAGATCTAGAGGTGAGGCGGAAAGTTCCACCCCTCTGACCACTTGGTTGTCTTCCCAGGCACCAGCCCTTATCCTTAAGGTGTTTCCAAAAACCATCTCATTAAAATAAACTCAGGTGGAAAGGCACTTGTTATGAATATAAACATATTTTTTACCTTTTTGTACTGGAACTATTTTAGGAACTGGGAATAAAAACCAAGTTTATAACAAAATATGCCCCTATCACTCTTACCAATTAGGAAATTACAAGTTTTAGGAGCTATGTGCCAGAGACCAAAAATATGTATTTTATTATGTCACAATCCCTAATACACAAAGAATGCTTAAAGAATACTAAGGAAAATAATTAGTAATTTTGTTATTCAGTCACTCAGTCATGTCCGAATCTTTGCAACCCTATGGACTGCAGCACATAGGGTTCCCTGTCCTTCACTGTCTCCCAGAGTGTGCTCAAACTCAACTCTGTTGAGTCAGTGATGCCATCTAAACATCTCATCCTCTGCCGCCCCTTCTCCTGCTCTCAGTCTTTCCCAGCATCAGGGTCTTTTCCAGTGAGTTGATTCTTTTAAACAGGTGGCCAAAGTATTGAAGCGTCAACTTCAGCATTAGTTCTTCCAATGAATATTCAGGATTGATTTCCATTAGAATTGACTGGTTTGATATCCTTGCTGTTGAAGGTAATAATATTAAGGGGCTAACATACTAACAAGCAATTCACAAAGAAGACAATTTTCAACAAATGCATCAAAGTTTACCAACTTCAGTTTTAATTAGGAAAGTGCAGATAATAATAAAATTTTGTTTTTAGCCTATCAGATTAGCAACAAATTTCAAAATTGATGACATTTAGATTTGCAAGAATTTGAAGTTTTAATATAACATTGGTGGAACTCCCAACTGGTACAAAATTTTTGGAGGATTATATTGCCATGTGTATATTAAATTAAGGGCCTTCCCTGGTGGTTCAGGCAGTAAAGAATCTGCCTGCAGTGCAGGAGACCCATGTTCAATCCCTGGGTCGAGAAGAAGAAGGGAAGGGCAACCCACTCCAGTATTCTTGCTTAGGAAATCCTATGGACAGAAGAGCCTGGTGGGCCACAGTTCATGGGGTCACAAAGAGTCAGACATGAGTGAGTGACTAACACATTCACACGTATTAAATTCAAGTTGTAAATACAATGGATTACTTTGTGTAGTTGTTATTCTAAAAAGCAGTTAGTTCTTCATTGACAAGAGTATGGAATGGTTATATTTGTATCTTTTGTTATGTAAATATGAGATTAAATATTAGTTATTTTAGCTTTTAAAGTGGCAGCACTGTCTCTTGACTCTCATATGACTTTCATGCTTTCCTGCCTTCTAGATCTTCCCCTGACTTGTGTTTTGTTAGTCACTTCGCTTCTCTGTGTAGTTTGTTTTAGAATTTCATGGAATATCTTGTTTTAAAAACCATCTGTAAAGGATTTGACAAACTCCATTTTTGTCTTCTGATAATCTAATTTGTTTTCAACTACAGCATTAGTGTGTATAGTTCAATGGCAAGAATATTTTCTGAGATGCAGCATTCCTCTGGCACATTTATTTATTCCTTTTTTTTCCAAGAATTTTGATTCTCTTAAACTGTTAGCACTTTTTTTTACAACTTGTTTGAGATAATTATTAAACCATGCAATTCATGCATTTAATGGGTACGGTTCAATGGTTCTTAGTATTTTCATCAGTTTAGTTGCTTAGTCCTGTCGGACTCTTTGTGACCCCATCCTCTGGCACATTTAGAATGTCTTGCTAATCTTCTGCTTCAACTTAGGGTCTTTTATTTGATTACAGTCACCTTTCTTTCTATGTATTCAAACCCAAACCTCCACATTCTAATTCAGATGTTCATTTGAACCTATTCTCCAGATCATGGATTTATATTTCTGAATTTTTTATTTATACATTTAGTCTTTGCCACTAGTTAATCGATTTGAAAGAAAGAATCTTCTATATTTTTCAGATATCTAACACTGAAGTCTTTGAGTGTGATTGTATTAGTATATCATGAAAAGATCTCTGAACATTGATTTTAATGTTTATATGGCTTAGCATATTGTCAGAAGGGGAAATCATTTGAATTAACTTCATTGATTCACTCTTTATTCAGCTGTAATTGTGTATTTAAATTTTGGGCAATTTGATTTGCTCTTGATATTGAAGTGACATTTATACTGTTTTTCTTAGTGTTGTCTCCTTTTGATCATTTAAAATAGACACTCCTTTTTTTACAGTCAGTGATTTCTTTTATAATCTCACTCCTCCTCCCCAAGTCCACTAATAACTCAATTTAAAAATGCTCTGGGATGAATTGAGTAGGACACTTTGATATGAATAGGTCTAGTAAATTAAGACTGAGGACTGCCTAATACTTTCATTTGATACATTGTTTTTTGAGCTTCTCTTGCTTTATTTTGGCTGGTTGTTTCTTCTACCCTTTTCTCATCCCCATCTCCCTTCCTATTCATGCCCCATCCCAGATTTTTCCCTTTTCTCTCTCTAAATGCTCACAGTTCAGTGATTGATATCTTATGATTCTTGGGTGATTTCATGCTTCCTCTTAAAAATAGAGCCATTAAATGAGTCAAGGCTCTTGATTGGTTTCAGAAGTCAAGTTGGTATTTTCAGACTTGGTCTCAGGTGGTGACTGTTGAATTATGAACTAGTGAAATAATTAACTATAATTTATGTTGAGAATATGTTTTAATGCTTCTTATTTAGACATTAAGTGCCTTTTGAAAACAAAAATTTGAAAGTTGACTTTTCTGTTATCTTCCTTCTTGTAGTATTTTGATAATTCATGAATTGTACCATAAATAAAAGAGCAACAAATATCATTCACTTTCTTCCCAAATGCAACTGAAGGGGAAAAGTCAATAAACTGTTAAGCTGAATGATTTCTCAGTCCTATGATATTTTCAATAGTTTGTTGAAAATGAAGAATGATTTTATAAGGTATTCATGACATGACCTTTTCTTTGGTTATCATTCTAGATATTTTAATACATGTAGGACTTATATCTGAAAAAGTGGCCCTACAATAATTTGAAAATATACTTATTCAAGTGTTTTCACGTTGTTCCACTTTTTAAACAACAAGTTTTAATATAAGCCATTCATATCCTATTGAAAACAA